ATCTCTGCCCCCAAAGCCACAAACATCGCTGCTACACGAGGAGAGGCCGGCCCACAGAAAGCCCGCGTATACCTAATTAGCTATTAAAGGGGAGACAATAATCTCCTTGTCTCAAAGAGATGCAGCCAGGTCTCAACCCTCCCCCACAGGATATGGGAGAAGCGTTTGACCTGTGACCTCAACTCACAGAGGAGTCTTTGAGTGACTACAAGCAGATGTTTGCAGTATCACAGATTCTAAAAAACTAATAAGAGCTCTATAAACAGATCAGATTAAAATATTCTCTTACACATAGTTGGAAAAATAAATGTTTTAGTGGAACTTCTCTTATAAGAAGACACTTAAAGGGGCCCTTGTATGCAAATGTTCAGGTACATATTTGTATTTTGTGTCTCTACTGTGACACACTTTAATGTTCAAAAAGGTTTTTATTTTTCTCATACTGCCTGTGCTGTAGTGAATCTTTTCACCCTCTGTCTGAAACCAGAGACTAGTCTCAGAATTGTTAGCTGGCCGGCTCTGTTGTGATTGGTGAAACGTTTAGAGATGTCCCGCCTCTTAGACCCCATTTACACGGGAACGTTTGCGTTTACGCAAAGTATGCGTTTTCTAAAAAGTCTTCCGTTCACACGCATTCGATTCATTTAACGTTTACGTTCACACGAGACCGCTGGAAATGCTGTAGTACATATATGCCGGGCCTGTAAGTGGCGCTGCTGCCGCCACAAAATACACCAAAAGCAGTGAAGAAGACCTCGGAGCATGGTTGCCATGGTTGCCCTTCTGTTTATTCTCCGCTTTGGACGGCGTGTGCTCCTGCTGTAATTATCTCCGGTAGTCCACCAGCAGATGAAAAAAACCCACCTCTCCGCCTCTTCCAAGGGACGAGGGGACCGTGTGGCAGAATTTCCGTTAACATTTTTTTCCGCCGGTCAACATGTCCATTAAAGTTTAAATCTTCCAGACAAAATTAGAAAAGTGCCGGTCAAAGGTCTTCTTTGTTATTTTATTATTTATTGAGCTTTAAAACAAATTGATAACGACTCTATATAATAATATAAGAATAATAAACGGAGCCTCTCTTTTCCTCCCCCTCTTCTGACAGCCCAGCAGCTGATCTCTGAGCAGCAGACGTGGGGAGAGGGAGGCGGGGCTAATTAATCGTTATCAGAAAATGAAAGGGCTATTGACAAGAGAAACTATGCGGATACAACCCGTATCATCCTCGTGTAAACGGGGTCTTGGCCTATCACGTAAAATGTGTTGAAGCGTCAGCCAATAGAATTAAGCGTGAGTGTTACTTAGTGATGTAGAAATACTTTGCTAACAAGACATACATACAGTATTGTGACAAAGGTACACTATGGACTGACTGCTTCAGGCCGGGTAATTGTGTGCACCTGGTGTCCTGTGTTGTCTCCTCCCCCCCTCACCTGTGTCTTGTTGTGCTGATTAGTGTGTGTATTTAGGCTCTGTTTCCCTGTCTGTTGGGAGGCTGGTAGTGTTTTTGAGATCTTTGTGGCTGCAGGATGGGTGGAAGGAGAACAGCAAGATTGAGGCTGTGAACTTTGTGCCCGGGATTTTAATAAATGCCCACGTCGGGTTATATTTTTGGACGTTCTGCCTCTGCCTCCTTGCTTGGTCTTGGCCGCTCAACGGTCAGCTTCACAAGTATACTATATAGAAGGGTATAGATTTTTGCTTAACACCTTTATGTCTCAATGCCATGCTCTGCCACTTGTCTTGCATATGTGACTACACAATGTAGTGATATATGAACCATGATGTATAAAGTAGAACTACATTGCTTTTTTAAATGGAATTATATCCATTGCTAAAAGTTGCTCAATTGGCGCATGTCAAAGCATTCCAGACTCCCACAGTTTGAACCGTCTGACTTTGAGTTAGCTTCCCAAGCACATAAACACGATAAAACCATAAAATAATATGGCTCTTTTAGAGTTTCCAAATGTTATTGAAAAGATTGGAACATATTCCGATTGTAAAAAAGGATCGAAATGTATGCACCATTTGACAGCTGCTCCTCTTCTAATATGCAATGGTAAAACGTGTTCTTATGTAGATAAGATACCAAGATCAAAATGTTTTTAATATCCAAAGAAAACAGGAACCTAGGTGTGAAATACTGTAATGACTTGTGTAATTAATTTCCAGTCTGTCCTAACAATTTAAAGTCAAATGAATCCTTCTTTACATTTTGATGATAATGGATCCCAGTGGTCCCGCTGTCTTCCAAACTTTTTCCAACACTCTTATTTTCATCGTGTCTGTATCGCTCCCGTCAATGCGTAATTTCAGCGTAACATGTCATTTACACGGCGCTTAGACTCACAGCTGTTCAAATAAATAAATCACTGTATAGCACATGATGCAACTTCCTTTGACAGACAGGCTTACTAAGTTTTAAATCTGCATCGGATCAAAAACAACTGGTGTCAGGGAAACATTTCAGTGTGAAATCCTCCAGTTTACTCATGTTAGGGTGCAACATTAATCAGCAGGCATCTGTATTAAGACTATTTTAAGCAAAACCATCTACATACTGTCACCGTCTGTGTTCACATTGTCAGCCCAGTTTTTTTTGTTCATGTCCTCTCTTCTATACAATCTTCATCTCCGAAGATGATGAAAATGCATGGGATTGACAATCCTTATAATAAAGTCAGCTTCCATAACACAATGTTCTGCAGCTCCTGGAAAATGTCTGTATTTTTGAGTGTGAAACTAAAGCGGTTTGCTCAAAAAGGTGCTGTTCTCATAAAAGATTAATAGTTGCCTGGTGGCCCAGAGGCACCCGAGCCAACAACTCAAGATTCATAAATAAAACTAAATGGATCAATATTTCCAAGACTTTCGAGGTAACCTATTGCTATACCCTTACCTTGCGAGAGAAAGCTTTGAGAAAGGTTATGTTTTAATCAAAGCCTTCCACCAGAAATGTTAAAGAAAGTGTGGTTAATCATCAGAACGATGTGGTAGCTGAAATCCAGAAACCAATTGCTGTAAAATAGAGGAATTCTGGTACTATATCTCAGTTTAATAAAGAGTTTAATCATACTATTTTGTAATTATTGTCACCTCACTGCAGGCTTATTGTGCTGATGCTACAGCACAATTATTTTTCTGCTTGCACGAATACAGGGAGCAAAGCATGGAGGATTTAAGGCCGAGGCATTTACTCTCTGAACAGCCAACATCAGATGCTCATTACTCAAATGTTATTGAACCGCAGTGACAAAGCAGAATGACATATTAGACTGGGGAAGGAAAACTCACATGACAAGAAGAAACATTGGCGGGTAGTTTGCACAGCCATTATCTTGGCAGCAGGATGATGATAATTATGATGCATGCTTTTGTTGTGCAAGCTGTCTTGTAGCCAATGAATGCCCAACAAATAATTTACATTGTTTTTATTTGGGATACAGTTATTTAAAATTCTGTGTACGCTGGAAGTTAGCTCTACAGTTTGCGATAAAAAGTCTATGACTGTTTGTAATACTACACTTTCTACAGATTTTCTATTACTTGTTACAAAGAGTATATTGTCTTTCCAGTTGCAGAGGGTAACTTGGGACATTTGTTAAAGTACTTGAGCACAGCTCTGAGTTACTTTACCCAAGCATATTCCTGTCCCGTTGTTTTATACTTCTACCGACTCCACCGCAATTCATTGGCGATCATTTACGGTTGGCGACAGGTGCACATGTATTTCGACCCAAAACACTCCCATCTGGAGAAACATGCTGCAATTTCAAAAACTATGCAAATGTAAAAACATGAATGTGCCAAAACACATGCAAATTAAGAAACATCGTCACCAACCTGACAACCAATGTTCAGTGCATTTCTCCATTTTCCTACAGTAGGCCACCGTAGGTAACTTTAACAGTTACTTTGCAAATGAAAATACAAAGTAACAATGTTCTCCACCTTATTCATCAAACTGCAGATTGTATAACTACACTGAACAAAAATATAAATGCAACACTTTTGTTTTTGCTCCCATTTTTCATGAGATGAACTCAAAGATCTAAAACATTTTCTATATACACAAAATAACCATTTCTCTCAAATATTGTTCACAAATCTGAAAAAATCTGTGAGAGTGAGCACTTCTCCTTTGCCGAGATAATCCATCCCACCTCACAGGTGTGGCATATCAAGATGCTGATTAGACAGCATGATTATTGCACAGGTGTGCCTTAGGCTGGCCACAATAAAAGGCCACTCTGAAACGTGCAGTTTTGCTTTATTGGGGGGGTCTGGGGGGGTCCGAAAACCAGTCAGTATCTGGTGTGAGGGGTAGGGTTAGGGTTAGGGTAATGTTGTGAATCGAGTGGCCTGTGTTCGTCATCCATAACATACGCCTGCCCATACCATAACCCCACCACCACCATGGGCCACTCGATTCACAACATTACCCTAACCCTAATCCTAACCCTACCCCTACCCCTCACACCAGATACTGACTGGTTTTCGGACCCCCCCAGACCCCCCCAATAAAGCAAAAATGCACGTTTCAGAGTGGCCTTTTATTGTGGCCAGCCTAAGGCACACCTGTGCTGTCTAATCAGCATCTTGATATGCCACACCTGTGAGGTGGGATGGATTATCTCGGCAAAAGAGAAGTGCTCACTATCACAGATTTGTGAACAATATTTGAGAGAAATGGTTATTTTGTGTATATAGAAAATGTTTTAGATCTTTGAGTTCATCTCATGAAAAATGGGAGCAAAAACAAGTGTTGCGTTTATATTTTTGTTCATAGCTTTTTTTCAGTATTTTTCCCAACATGATAATACTATGGTTGTTTTTAACTTAGTATTTGCAATATACATAGGGATGAATGACTTCTACTTGTCTTTATCAACTGTCATCCCTCCAGCAGAAAAGTAATGTTGAAATGCTCCTGGATAGGAAATAACATTTCCTGCTGACTCATCCATGTGTGTTTTATTCTTTTCTTCTCTCCCAAGGGGATTAATGCCACGAACACTAGACAGCCAGATCACATTAGAGAAGACACCCAGCTACTTTGTCACCAAAGAGGCTCCGAGACGCATCTGCAGCATGTCCCACGAGACAAAGCTGATTGTTGTGGTGCGTAACCCAGTCACAAGAGCCATCTCCGACTACACACAGACTCTTTCCAAGAAGCCCGACATCCCTACGTTTGAGGAGCTGGCCTTTAAGAACAAAAGTGAGGGTCTCGTCGACTCTTCCTGGAACGCCATTCGGATTGGGATGTACATCCTGCACCTGGAGAATTGGCTGCAGTACTTTCGCCTGTCGCAGATGCACTTTGTGAGCGGGGAGCGGCTGATCACAGATCCAGCGGGGGAAATGGGCCGCGTTCAGGACTTCTTAGGGCTGAAACGAATAATCACGGACAAGCACTTTTACTTTAACCGAACCAAAGGCTTTCCCTGTCTGAAAAAGCCGGAGAGCAGCAGCCAGCCGCGCTGCCTGGGAAAATCCAAGGGCAGGACTCATGTACAGATCGAACGGGAGGTCATAGAGCAGCTGCAGGAGTTTTATAGGCCATTCAATATCAAATTCTTTGAAACCGTGGGGCAAGACTTCAAGTGGGATTGAGGGTTCCATACAGAAACAAGGCTTTTTTTAAATGGCCTCTGAAAATAAATATAAATGAGGGTATCTTCATACAAATGTTTAAATGAAAAGTTTATTGAGATATGTATTCATTGACAAAATCAACATAGAAGAATATATCAAGCATAAGAGTTTTAGGTTGGGTCATTATGACAACAAGTGCTATTTCATAAAGAATATAAATATCTATATCCAAAAAATATGTTTCTTTCTTCTTTCACAAGGACATTGCTTAAATATTCATTCTGATCAAAATGAACCATCGGCTTTAATGTTAAATTGACTTCCTAACAGGAATTTGCAGCCAAATGTCAAATGATTATTCAAATCTGCCTGTCAATTATTCTGCAGTGAAGTTTATCTCTGTATTGTTGACAAAAGTTCATAGGCAACAATGACACATTTACTGAATAAATGTACTGTAAAAAAAAACGTCTTGAATATTAAAACATATGCTATAACGACGATAAAGGTTTATTAAACTTCAGCTCTTTCTGTGTCAGTATTTTTGTTGTGATCATCGAAATAAAATGCAGAAGTCTATAATCAAGTACTATTTGAGATATGTTCTTGCTTACATACGGATAGAAGTTAGTAGTAGCGTTTTCTTCTGATTGTGTAGTCCATGTAACAATAGTGTATGTGGTGATCTGATCTAAGATAACAAGTGCAGCACACACATTTAGATGGTTTTGTTACACACAAATCAAGGCAGTTATTTCCTACCTTGATAAAATACAAAAGTGATCTATATCAAAGCTGTGAAGCCGAGTTAACACAGGACTGTATTACAAACACACTTTATGTGTTTATGTTGTGACATCCACTCTGTCTCCTGACCACTTTTTTTAGAACATATCAGTAGAGAAGTTTTTACTGAGCCTGTTGAAAGATAAAATGTTCCTTACCAGCTGCTGAAATGCGTGCCATTGATCTCATTAACTTCCAGGATTTCCTCTTTTGATGGATTTGATCGTGCTCTTTCTAAATGTCTCTCCATGCTTAGCAGCTAGATTAACCTCCTGAATTTGCACCCCGAAACCAATCACAGTTGTCATTCATAATGTACACAAGACCTCAACAATTCTCCTCTGAAAAGGGGAGGAAAAGGGCTCCAGTCAGTGCAAAATTAATAGAAATACATTGAATAAATACTAAATAATTATTTGTAAATGTATGCTGGATCTGTTTGATGTGATGTTTGGCAGCGAATGCACAGTGGAGTTGTTTTCTACAGACTACAGATGTCTGATTAGCACAGGCTTAAGAACACTGACGACCTCTGCAATTATTTTAAATGAAGTCTCCAGGTTATACTTCCCATGTGAAAACAGCTTTAGATTTAACTTTGAGCTGACCTTCCAACCCTGCTGAAACTGCAAGGGCTGGCATGTTGTTTTTAAGTTTAACAATCAATTAATAAGCCTAATTGGTCAGAGAAGTTGCATTCTCCTTATATCAAGTGTATTTGTTTGCAGCAAGAAAATTGCAGATCTTCGCTTTTTTTAAATAGTCTAAATCTGGGCATTATTTACAAAAATGATGCATAGAATTGGGAACATTTTTAATAACTGTATGCTTCATATGGTTTCCAAAACAGCACCTTTAATTAAGAATCTCAGCACAGCAAACAGAAACAGCCAAGTTAAGCTGCTATTGTAATGATGAAACAGTATGCTATGTAGGCCGACAGGTGCAAACGCGTCAAAACCACCCAAAACATTTCCAAACTAAACAGCTCGAGTTCAAATTTTTCAACTCGAGCGTCAAATTTGCGTGACGCGTTCTCACAGTAACCAATCAGCGGTGAGGATCTCAGCTGGTTCAACTTACGTTGAACCAGAAAACCAAAACATCAGCCGTTAGCTGTTAGCACTCACAGCTCCTCATATCTGTTCAGAAACTGGACAAAAGTTAAACATGTACAAACCACAGACTGTCTGTGTCATGGCGAATACAGTCGCTGCTTTATTTATGTCTGTAGGCCGTTGTTGTGAGTGTGGCCGGAGCATATACAACGTTAGCTTAGCCTGATCGATCCGATCTCCATTCAGAAAACACGCATTTTAAATGTTCGCCTGCCGTCTTGTCTGCAGACTTGTCAAAGCATTCATTCATGGTTTTTACTAACCGGTATCAGTATGTTGTTACTTCGGCATCATTTTGAAACGTGTATTACAATTAAATCACGGTCAAATATGTTCATTTTGTTGTAGTTGAAGCCCCTAAGCCAACGCGTCTTGTTTGAATGATGCAAGTAAACACAGCTGACAGCCGAGGTGAAACTCGAGCGTTTAGAGCGATGCGATAAGAGCGATTAGAGCCAAGCGAATATTCGCATCGTGTCCGGTGTGACCGCAGCATAAAAAGTGATGCACAGAGCTGGGACCGGAGCGGTTGTTGACGTCCGGGGATTATAAAGTAGGCAGACTGTCACTGGAAAAGTACCTAAAATATACGTTTTATTTGCTTATTTAAAATGTAATCACATGATTCTTTCCAAGATTATTGTAGATCTGCTGTAAGCGAGCTAGCTAACGTAGTTAATAGTCATTTCAAATGTACTGACATAACACTTACAGTTGGCCAACATTATAATTCCCGGATGTCAACAAGCGCTCTGATCCCAGCTGTGTGCATCACTTTTTAGCGTCCCCGTTTCCCCTTGTTTTGAGCTTCTTTCTGCTTATTCTGCATTTTTTAAATTGCAGCATTTTGTTTTTGCAGCATTTTGTTTAGTAAGCGCTGCGTATGTTTCTTTAAGTTGCTAAATATATTTTTTAAATGCTGCACATGTGTTGTGAAGTTGGTGAAGATATTTCCTAAAATCTGTTTTGGCACGTGTTTTTATTTTTGGATTGATTCTGGAGCAGCAGCGCGTTTCTCCAAATGGAAGTGTTTTGGGCCGTTGTCGAGTGCTTGCAGCTGTGAGACACAATTATTTAAGGCATGAAAAAATGGTGTGACTTCTTCTCTAGGTGTCTTACTTTCATTGTGTAATTCCCCACTGCAGGCCTGTGAATTGAGCAGCCATATCTGGTCTCACTTAGACTAATGTGACAATGTGACCTTCCTTATTAAGAATATTAGATATTCCCTTGAATTCCAACTGTTCTCTTCCTCTACATTACATTACATTAGCCATCAGCAGTATTTAAACTGTCCTTTGTGATTTTCTCCATACATTTTTGATGAACCTACCAATGCGTTCTGCAGCTGCATCAGCAGACTCCGCATTTTAGCAATAAACTCAACTTTATCTCAGCTCAGATAATTATAACTCATCCCAAAGAATGCTCTGGGCTTGATGGCATGGCACTGAAAAAAGAAACTCCCACATGGCTGCTACCTTATGATACCCAATACATACTTTGATGTGTTATCAGTCCTGCATATGGAATATAAGGTGAACCTTTTGGGGAATATTCATGGATGTAAGACAAGTTGCAGAGAGGAAATTGGTAAAGGTCTGCAAATATTTTCGCCAAAATGCTTGTGCTCATTTATTTGTTATGCTTTCTTGCAGCATTCAATGCCAACACACTCTCACTCCCTAAACGTCCAGGAGCGACGTTTGGTCAGGGTCCCGTGGCGCCCAGTTGTGACGCGCCAATGCTCCTTCAGCTTCATAAAGGGACGCAAAGAGCTTTCAACTGATTGCAATGTATTCCCATCGGCGGCGGTATTTGACGCTCATGGAAGCACCGCATCCATTTACTGTATGTCGGCAGCTCTTAAAGGCAATGTGAGCGTCCATTCCCATTGGATAACGGAGAATTGTACGCCCGGAAGTAAGTATTCTCCTTACTCTCGATTGATTTGACAGTGATATCTGCACTACTCATCAACTCAAAAACACCAGATTACCTTTGTTAATTAAACGACATTGATAGGTTTAAATTGTGTACAATGCTTTTGTGTTTTTCCCCTTCAATTCTGAGAAACAACTTGTTCTCTCTGAAATGTGGAGCGCCAAAGAGACTACATTACCCACAATCCCCAGCTATTGTTGTGACAAACCCCGTGATTAATCTTCAAGCTCTGGGATTGGATGTTGGAGTGGCAGTGCGCCAAGGTTACGCCGAGCGTCAAGCTCTTTGAAATGGAACGAAACCACGGCAGACTATTCAAAACTGGATTTGAACTCCCCCCCAGAACTACACATGCTGGCTATTGTGTTTCGCAACATGTTCTCTATGGCACGTCTCTACTGGGAATTGTAGTTTTAAAAGACATTTTTGTTTTTTCCAAAATTAGAAGTTGACAGTATTAAACTGTGTACAGCCCTGGAGGTTTAGGCGATAGGAAACAAATTGGTGTGTACAAATTTAAAACATGTTAGTACTAAATGGGTGAAAATCGCTTGTATCCATAATGGGCAGCATTAATATATACCCACATGACAGCTCATTGTTACTTTGTAATTCTACTCCATTACAATTCAGAAGTTAACCTGGTATTTTTACTCCACTACATTTAGTTTAGTTACTTTGCAGATTCTGATTAATGATGTGAAATATAAACAACCCTTAAAGCAGACTTTAGTTACACCTGAGTCAAATTCAGAGAAAGGTGATTATCAAGTGCCAACAATCAGGAGAGATATTTGATAGTTGGTGCTTGAGAAGACTAAACATTTATCTGCAGATCTCTATAAAGTATATTCATTAATCGTTATTCTCTACTAATAGTTAATAGTTGGAAATCGGGTCAATTTGACCCGAACACCACACAAGGGTTAAAAACTGTATATAATGGCTATTTTGCACATCCCTTTCAAGATTTCAAGATTTTCTAAGGTTTATTGACATATCATATACACAACTACGGTGTAGTTATGCAATGAATGAAAAACTTGGGTCACAGGTTTCTCAACAGTGCATTACAAGACATCTATCAATATGTGTGTACCTCCACCATTAAACTGTCAAATTCTGCACATTTCTTATACTATCTACATACATAAGAGTATAATTAATGTGTATAATATCAGTTCAAATAAGTGCTTCAACATAGTTAACATTGCAGGAAAGCAATATATTAGACGTTAAGTAGCCTACTTTGTCAGGCTTAATATTTCTCTCTAGATACCCCCAAAGTTTTTTTCTTATTTGAAAGAAGACCTTAACCTAAAGTATTCTTTAATGTGTTAATAGAGGTTAATTAGTTTGTCTGTTTTGCACATCCTCATATTAATATATTTGTACATCCTGCACTAAACTGTTTTATTGTAGAGATCACTTACAGTATCTTCTTGATTTTCTATATTCTATATTTCTATTTCAGTCAGACAACTCACGTGTTCCTTTAACATGTTTATTAGAAGCAGCATATAGTTGAGTTTGGCGACTAGGCTCGGGCATCATCACTCCATAGATATACATAGCACGATGAGTGATGATTAAATAACTAACCCCCGAGCTTACAGGTGGAAGCTGGGGTGGAAGCTGGGGTGGTGGTGGGGCAGCAAGCAGCAGCGACGTAGAGGTAGCTGCAGCAATAGCAGCAGCAAGCAATGCATGGAGAGAGATCTGGCAGGTTAA